GGCTCAGTCGGTTGGGCGTCCGATTCTGACTCTTGATTTCACCTCAGGTCATGATCTCATGGGTGGTGAGATCCAGCCCTGTGTCCAGCTTGGAGCTGAGCAAGGAACCTGCTTGGAATTATCTCTCTCCATCTCCCTTTGCCCTCCCCTGCCTCGTGTTCTTTCTCTCTTAAAAAAACAAACAAACAAAAAGACTTTGGATCAATTGATTAAGTTGAAATATAAACAGAGCAAATACAAATGTTATGTCAAAGTTATATTTAGTGAATTGATAAAAAAAATTATGGTTATGTAGGATAGCTTTGTTATTCTTAGGAAATAAATAGGAGTAAGGGGCCACAGTATATGCAACTAGCTTTCAAATGTTTCAGGAAAAAGTCTGTATAGGCACACCTGGGTGACTCAGTCGGTTGAGCGACCAACTCTTGGTTTTGGCTCAGGATGTGATCTCGGGGTGGTAGGATTGAGCTCTGAGTTGGGGTCCTGCGCTCAGGAGGAAGTCTGTCTGCTCGAGGTTCTCTCCCCCTCCCCCTCCCCCAGCTCAAACACGCACACACACCCTCTCTCTCTAAAATAAAAAAATAAGGGCGCCTGGGTGGCTCAGTCGTTAAGCCCCTGCCTTCGGCTCAGGTCATGATCCCAGGGTCCTGGGATCGAGCCCCGCATCGGGCTCCCTGCTAGGCGGGAAGCCTGCTTTTCCCTCCCCCTCTGCCTGTCACTTCCCTGCTTGGGCTCACTTGCTTCCTCTCTCTCTCTGCGTCAAATAAATAAAAAATCTTAAGAAAAAAATTAAAAAATAATACTAAAATTAAAATAAAATAAATCTTTAAAAAAGAAAAAGTATGTATGTACACATGTATACATGAACAGGTATATGTATGTATACAAGTGTGTATATATTTATATATATAGAGAGAGAGAGAGAGGTTGAAAGTAAATAGGGAAAATGTTGAAATAGGTGACTCTGAATAAAAGATATAGGAGTATCCTTGTATTATTTGTATTCTTGCAACTTTTCCGTAAGTTTGGAATTTTTTCCAGGAAAACTCACCAAAAACATTTATTAGCAAACCAAAGAAGAGCACTAGTATGGACAAAACATTATTTGGCCACCCTACCTAAGACTCATCTAAAGTCTAAAATGGCCAATGTGAGGGGCGCCTGGGTGGCTCAGGTGGTTAAGCAACTGCCTTCGGTTCAGGTCATGATCCCGGGGTTCTGGGATCGAGTCCCGCCCTGAGTCCGAGTCCGGCTCCCTGTTCATCGGGGGGTCTGCTTCTCCCTCTCCCTCTGCTTGTGTCTCCCTCCCGCCCTGCTTGTGTTCTTTGGCTCTATCTGTCAAAAAAATATAAATGAATGAATGAATGAATGAAATGGCCAATGTGGGTTTGAACTGGAGGCAGGTCCTGGGATTCTGGGCTTAAAGAGTTGCAGTCTCAAAATTTAGTGTTTCTTTTTTTTTAAAGATTTTATTTATTTATTTGACAGAGAGAGAGAGACAGTGAGAGAGGGAACACAAGCAGGGGGAGTGGGAGACGGAGAAGCAGGCTTCCCGCTGAGCAGGGAGCCCGATGCAGGGCTCGATCCCAGGACTCTGGGACCATGACCTGAGCCGAATGCAGACGCCCAACGACTGAGCCACCCAGGCACCCTCAAAATTTAGTGCTTCTTTTCTGCCTGACAGGCATTTGCCTCTGTATGCAAGGCTACAGAGAATATTCATAAAATCAGCCTCTA